AGCTTGCTGTCTGCGTTGGATTTGACAGCAAAATCGTCATTAGCACTAGGGGAAAAGAGCTTTGCTGCGTTTCGGCTGCAAGAGGAAGTAAATATGCTGGTATTGCTGCAAGGACTGGTAGATATCGCTAGAGAAACCAGGGAGGCTGCTCTTCAGATGGTAGTAGGCACAAACATCCTGCAGCAAGCGGAGTTCCAGCGAGCAGAGGAACTGCAGGAGCAGATGGAAAAGGCGATAACAACAGCACGATTAGCAGCTAGCCTTCCTGCTGTTGTGCATGCTGTTGGTGAGTATGTCTCTGCTAGCGAGAAGCTGCATCACCTTGTATGGAACCGGACGTTCAGCGGTTTCATCACAAGAGAAGGTGAAGCCGTTGCAGCGGCGACCGCTCGTATTAGTTCAGAGGGAATCCCGTCTCATCGCAGCTGAATCGACTAAAGGGGGGGATATCGAATTAAGGGCTCCAGTTCAAGCAGCAGCAGTAGCAGCAGCCTCAAAGGAAGGCAAATGCTTCATTGGGCAAAAAGCGCAAAAGACAGAAGAAGAAGGCCTGACCTCAGAAACAGCAGTACAACGGAGGGTGAAGGAGGTCACCAACCAGCGTGAGCAGGAGGCGACTTGTTTGGTAGCAACACATCAGAAGCAACAAATGGAGAAGAAAGCGTCGGCATAGAAGAACAGGGAGGAGTGAAAGGAGGGCATAGTGGTAGAGAAACCAGCAGGAACAGAAAGGGAAGAAGTCTTCAGTAAGAACGCTGAATGGAACGGGGATGGGGACAGTGATTAAAATGAGGAGGAAGATGCTGAAGTATGGCGTGAAACGGGCAGACAGGATGAAGAAGACGAATGAAGGGTCAGAGAAGGGAAGCACGAGGAGGCGGAAGAGATGGCAGGGTTTTTAGCTGGGGGAGAAATGGAAAAACAAAAAAAGGAGGCAAGGCAGACAGGGCATAAAGCCGACTGACGGGGAAAACTCTTTTGGACACTTCTGCAGAAGGGGTTGCCAGGCGACTAGGAAAGACAGCAGCAGCGAGACAGTGGTGGCGCTGCAGCAGAATCAGAAAAGGCGAGCAAGAACAGGAAGATGACGGCGTAACAACAACGTAGGCGGAGAAGTGAGTAGCTATTTTTTTAGTATATAGACGTAGAAAGGAGGTAGGAAAGGAGGCAGGGAGCAAGACAATGAAACAAAGAACAGACAGAGAGGATCCCGGTGTTTCCAAGATTGCGGGATAAGGGACCAGTTATGTATGTAACGCTGATCCGGGCCCTTACCCAGGGAGTATTGCAAGATGCAGCGTAGCCAAAATACTTAGGATGAGCGCTAATTATAGCAACTGATATCCTTCGCCAGTCTGTAGGCTTTCTGGGCTCAGCGGCATAAGTGGCTGGAGCTCCGGGAGAGGGGCCCCCATGACGGTCCTGGCAACACAACGCACGTTGCTGCAACTGACGGCGGCGGTCACCCTAACATGAAGGCATCCGGGTGCCTTCTTGGCTCTATTTGAATATATTGTAGACCGTCGCACAATTTGTCTACTAAGACCACGTACTGGTTAATGCCCCGAAGTCAGAAAGACTTGCCAGCATTGCCCAAGCAATGATACAAGAATGGCACTAAAGGAAAGTGCACACACGATCCCGCATAACATGGGAATATACACACAGAGATCAAGTACACTGCTACGGTTAACGGAAAAAAAACGTAAGAAATTAGATAGGAATGAGGCGACAAGGATCAGGACTCCCTACTGTATGACGCTTATCTAATGCTTTTCGGCCGCAGGATTTTGGGGGGGAAGGCCACAAAATTGCTCACTAATTTTGAGAGTGCAGTAGACAGAGGTGTATGTTACACAAGTTGGCAGAAGAGGCAACAGCATTTCCAAAGGCAGAAAGACAACAGAGGGACGAACGCTCAGAAATCGGCAGGAGAGCGAAGACCGAGCAAGACTTAGCTTGCTTGACTTATCCGCGGTGGTGTCGTCGTTTTACCGACGGAGTGACGGAATGCAGGTAGCTGATATAGCGCAATAAAACGAAGTAGCAAATAATCCAAATGAGTCCATGAGCTTTTGGGAGAAGTTGAGTCGAGCATGGCCGAACATCAGTCCTACCTTAGGCGCTGCGGCTAGGGCCAGCATTGGTCAGTGTACATTGTCGGTTGTGAGGCTTTCTGGACCTGCTTTTTCTTCAATATTTCAAAGTTTTTATGAACTAAAAGTGTTAAATCCCTTAAATATTCATGAAGTGGTGCTTCATTTTCCCCCATTTTAGGCAGCTTTCGACAAAGCTGGCGATCGCGTGCGCCTCGGGGCGCTCCCAGCAGGTTTCATCTACTTGTCATACCTTCTTTTCGTCTTTAATTCCCTAATTAACTTCCTTCCTGAAATGCTGAAAAGGGAATGTACTAAACGACCTCCCGTTCCCACACCGCTGAGCGGAACAGCCGGTAAGGCTATTCTTCTGCATTTGCTGCTGCTCTTGGTCCTCCTTTGCCCGTGGGATATATCGTCAGCATCTTCTCACTTCAATGTCGGCAACGAAGGCTTTGAAATGGATGAAGCCTTTGGTGTTTCAATCCACAAAGCAGCTGAAGCACCAGCAGGTCCTGCAGCAGAGGGTGGGCAAAATGGTGAAGCACTCATACAGAAGCTGTTGGACCAAGGCGTGGATCACGTGGAAGTGGGTGGGGATCGTAGTTCACAGAAGAAGTTTGGTTGGCCCGTATTGGGTTCTGCTGGATCTCTGGTGCTTCTGATGGCCATTGTTACAGCATGGGCGTTTGCAGCTGCTGCTCCCAGGGACAGGAGTCTCCCCACAGTTCACCATGAAAAAGATGAGAAGAAAGAGGAAGAAGAAAAGCAGAAGATGGCAAGTAGTAAAGGAATGAAGGAAGAAGGGGAAGCAGAAGTGGCAGAATCTCAGGAATCGTTGCCGTCGGGAGGAGAGGAAACAGCAGCACCAGAGCCTCCACAAGAACATCACCAAAAACAAGAAGGGCAAGAAGGCGAAGATATGGGAACGGAGGAGGAGGGAAAAAGTGAAGAAGAACAAGAAAAAGTAGAAAAAGAGGCAGGAGGAGAAGAAGAAAGCGTGGGAAAAGAACAAAGAGACGAAAAAGCGGGAGAGGAAGGTGAGGAAGAAAGAGAGGAAAAGGAAGGAGAAAAAGAAAAGGTTAAGCGAAAGCAAGAAGACACAGCAGAAGAAGAAGAAGACGAAGAAGAAGAAGAAGAAGAAGAAGAAGAAGAAGAAGAAGAAGAAGAAGAAGAAGAAGAAGAAGAAGAAGAAGAATGTAATATAGAATATGCTGTAGAACAGTTGCAGCAGCAGCAACTGCTGCGAGCTTGCTGGTTCCCTGCACAATCTTTGAGTGCATCCCTGAATCAGCCAATGTCTACTGTTCTGCTGGGGCAGCTGAAAGAGCACATGGACGCGGCGGAGCAGCATCAGTCTGCTGCAGAGGTCGGGGACCATGCAGCAGTGGCTGCGATTGCCGCTGCAAATCAAGCAGCTGCAAACGATCTTGCAGCTTTGGAACAACTGGCAAGAGATATTGTGGTGACCGGTGCAGCAGCAGCATTTATGTGCCCCGACGCAACCCGTATAGCTGATGCAGCTTTTGCAAGCCGCGTGTTAGAAAGCACAGGAGCAACACCTTCATACCAACAGGCATGGGATCAAGCTGTACGCATGTGCAACGACAGCATTGACTTCCAGAAAGATGAGGCAACGACAATCAGAACGCAGCTACAGAGCTTCCCTCCGCTGCAACAGCGGCAGCTGGGGCGGTTGCCCGAGCGGCTTTCTGCGGCGCGGGTTGCAGTGGATGCTATCCATCGTTGCTTGAAGTGGGAAGAAGCAGCAAAAGTGGTGGCAAGGCAGCTGAACCGGAGTTGTTCGCAGTTGTTCGCGAACAGCTGTCTAGGGCGCTTGGAGGTTGTAAGCACAAAAGGAGCAGTTCTACAGGGAATTGCTTTTGCTTTGCTGGAGGGAGCCAAGACGCTGACGAAAATGAGACCTATGGAACCTGAACATGCCAGGCCCATTGATAAGTGGAGCCTGTCGTTTACAGATGTGCATGGGGCACAAAGCTCGATGAACGAGCAAATGGAGGTGCTCCGTGGTGCGAAGAGCCTGCAGGAGGCTAAGGCAGCAGCAGATGCAGCAGAAGAAGCAGGGGTGCATATGTCGAAGGCTCTCGACGGGCTAATCAGGGATTTGGCACGTTTCTGGAAGAGCCATGAGCAGCATGAAACGAGTGAAGTTGAGAATACAGTGGCACATCCACCAGGGCTGCCGTCGCTAGACGGGCAGGTTAAGTCTGCGCTGAAGACTAAATCGCAAGCCTTTGTTGCGGCAGCAGAAGAAGCTGAGAAACTTGTGCTGGATGTGGGAAGCAGGATAGAGCTGCAGGTGGCAAGGCTAAGGGACCTGCCTTGGGTGCCTTTAGTGGTGCTAGAAGACGTGACGAAAGCACTTCAGTTGGTGATGGAAAATACGAAGAAGAACAGGCAAGAAGTCGTTGAACTTGTGGGTAGGCTACAGGAGGAGGGCAGTTTGGACAGCTTGCTGTCTGCGTTGGATTTGACAGCAAAATCGTCATTAGCACTAGGGGAAAAGAGCTTTGCTGTGTTTCGGCTGCAAGAGGAAGTAAATATGCTGGCACTGCTGCAGGGACTGGCAGATAACGCTGGAGAAACCAGGGAAGCTGCTCTTCAGATGGTAGTAGGTACCAAGACCCTGCAGCAAGCGGAGCTCCAGCGAGCAGAGGAATTGCAGGAGCAAATGGAGCAGACGATAGCAGCAGCAAGAGAAGCAGCTAGCCTTCCTGCTGTTGTGCATGCTGTTGGTGAGTATGTCTCTGCTAGCGAGAAGCTGCATCAACTTGTGTGGAACCGGACGTTCAGCAGTTTCATCCCAAAGGATGCTGTAACAGTAGCAGCCACACAGCAGCGACCGTTTGATCCACTTCAGAGGGAAGCCAGTCTCATCGCAGCTAAGTCGACTAAAGGGGGGGATATCGAATTAAGGGCCCCAGTTCAAGCAGCATCAGTGGCGGCAGTCTCAGAGGATGGCAAAGGCTTCATGGGGCAAAAAGCGCAAGAGACAGTAGAAGAAGGACTGACCTCAGAAACAGCACCAGCAGCGGAGGGAGCTGCTGGTGCTGTTTACTCTGTCAGCGGAGAGGAAACAGCAAGAGCAGGAGGAGGAGAGTTTGGTAGAGAGACAGCAGCAGCACAAGTTGAACAAGGAAATTTCAGAGGAGACGAACAAGCAGGAGTAGTGGGAGGGGAGCTTGGTGCAGAAAAACCAGAATTAGCGGGAGGCCTAGGCGGAGAAGCACATGTACAAGTAGAAGGGGGACGCATCAGCGGAGACGAAACGCCAGTAGGAACGGAAAAACCTTTTAGTGAGGAAAAGTCAACAGAAACGAGAGCAGGAGATTTCAATAGAGGAGCCATGACAGGCACAGGAGGAGGTCCTAGCGGAGGAAAAGGACCACAAACGGAAGGAGACAGAGGCTTTAGCGAGGCAGCAGCCGATCAGAAAAACGGAGAACAAGATGAAGAAGAAGAGGACCAGAACGAACGTGAGGAAGACGATGAAGCGGGGTATGAAACAGCCACGGAAGATGAAGGTGATGATTATACACCTGATGTATTCAAAGATGCACATGAGTGATCATTAAGGTAGTAAGAACTTCATGTAGGAAGGCGTGAAGAAGAGCATACGCCTGAGAGTGACGAAAGAGGGAGAGAAGAGCTGCCAGCCAAGTGGAAATGACTGCAGAACCTTTAATGATGTGGCGATTTTTCAGCAAAGAACTTAGCAGCAAGAGCACACGGCGAGCAGAAAGCGACGTTGAACGGAAAAATGATGACTGCGTACCAATGGATGCCCGACTAAGGGGCCCGTTTGGTGTGTTTGTCTTTAGACAGGAGATGATATAGGGAGGCAGAGAAGGATGAGGGAAAAGAAGACAGGGACGCAAAGAGCCGATAGTGCGGGAGGTTGTCTCTTTAACACAACGGGGAAGGAGGAAGAAGCTGTGCCAAAGAGAACCTGAACCTCGAGCCCGCCGTGTATGGGGGCATATGCACAGGGAATGATGACAAGTGTGTGCCTGTTCTTAGTAGCTGAAGATAGAGAACAGGAGACAGGAAACAGGGACTAGGAAACAGGTGATGATACATTACATAGTGGCACATATCCACGAGACGTTGGCTGTAGACTTCGCGCGACACAGCGACCACGTTGGTTGCTAGCTTTGAGAGGACAGCAGCCAGAGGGGAGATAGAAGAGGCTTCCGTGCCCCCTTATGCAGACAGAAAGAAGAGGGGCACTGGCTCTAGCCGACGGCAGCAGGTGAACGAGGGTGACGTAGTGTGGCTATGTCCTCCACGTTGAGCTGCAAAGGCTTTGCTGACTTTGTCCAACATACGGAACAAAAGGACCTCACTAAAATTGAATATTAATACATACTAAATGTAGATAGCAATGTACATTGCTCTTAATGCGTTGTTGGATTCTACTGAGCGGCTACTGGCTACTGAGCGGGATGGAAGACCAGCGTGGTCGGGAGCGGCTGTGGGCTGGCACAATGCTTGTTCGTGCCAGTTGATGTAGGCTCAGCAGGCCTGTTTTGCTCATTGTTACATTGGTACGTTTGAACAAGACAAGCATAGCAATTTTCTTCAATATGGGTTTTTCTCTCTCGACATTTTAGGCAGGGTTGTGACTCCGGGGTCGCTGCCTGGCAGCTTGGGGACGCTCGCTGCAGGTCTCTTCTTCTTCCCACCCCCTTTCCATTTTTTCACCTAATTAACTTTGTGCCTGAAATGTGCAAACAAAAGCTCATTAAACGACCGCCCGCTCCTGCTGTGGAGAAGTTGATGGGAAAGAGGGCAAGAGCTCCGCTCTGTTTGTCCCTGTTGGTCCTCCTCGTCCTCGTTTGCCGCTGCAGTAGTTCAGCAGCTCCTCAACATCTGAATCCGTTGAACGAAAGCGTGGGAGTAGATGGAGCATTTGATGCTTCAAGTTCGGCAGCAGGTGCTGCTGCTGTAGGAGATGCGGGAGATGGTGAGGGGGGGTTGGAGCAGGTGTTGAACCCAGGCCTACGTCCTGTGAATGTGAAATGGATTCGTAATGCAATGAAGAAGTTTGGGTGGTATGCACTTGGGTCTGCTGCTACCGTATTGCTGCTTGCACTTCTTGTTGCAGCAGGGATTTTTGCTGCTGCTACACCCAAAGTGCAGAGTGACCCCACAGTGCCTGCAGAGGAGGAGGAGGAAGAGAAAGAGAAAGAGGAGGTGAAGGAGGAGAAGAAAGGCGAGGAGACCCCAAGGAGCAGAGAGCTGAAATACGAAGGGGAAGCAGAAAGATCCGAAATTGACCAGGCTTCACAGGCGGGAGCAGCAGAGAAACCGGCACAAGAACCTTCACGAGAAGAACAGCAACAGCAGGAAGATGCGGAAGGACACGATGAAGGCGAAACCGAGAAGGAAGAGGAGGAGGATGAAAGTGGTGGGGAAGAGAAAGACGAAAAGGAGAAGGAAATATCGGGGGAAGGAATAGAGCAAGAGGAGGAAGCAACGGAGGAAGAAGAGAAAGAAGGAACAAAAGAAACGGAGGAAGAGGGAGGCGACGAGAAAGATCAAGAGGGAGGAGGAGAAGAGACGTTTGACGGGGAGAGTGGTGCTGGTCACGAAGCCGAAGGGGAAGCCGAGATGTCCACAGCTGACGATGCGTCACAGGCGGGAGCAGGAGAGAAACCGGCACAAGAATCTTCACAAGAAGCACAGCAACAGCAGGAAGATGCAGACGGACACGATGAAGGCGAAGCCGAGAGGGAAGAAGAGGAGGATGATAGTGGAGGGGAAGGGAAAGACGAAAAGAAGGAAATATCGGGGGAAGGAATAGAGCAAGAGGAAGAAGCAACGGAGGAAGAGGGGAAAGAAGGAACAGGAGAAACGGAGGAAGAGGGAGGAGACGAGAAAGATCAAGAGGGAGGAGGAGAAGAGACGTTTGACGGGGAGAGTGGTGCTGCTCACGAAGGCGAAGGGGAAGCCGAGATGTCCACAGCTGACGATGCGTCACAGGCGGGAGGAGAGGAGGAACTGCAACATGAACCTCCACGAGAAGAACAACAACAACGGGAAGTTGAAAAACGAGACGATGAAGCAAAAACCAAGAAGGAAAAGGAGGAGGATGAAAGTGGAAGGAAAGAGGAAGGAAGGGAAAGCGGAAGAGAGGGAGGTGTAAAGGAGGAAGAGGGAAAAGGAGGAGAAAGCGAAAAGAAGAAAGAAACAGGGGAAATGGAAAAAGAGGGAGGGTACGGGAAAAATGAAGATTTGGAGGGGGAAACGTATGACGGGGAGAATGTTGCTACTCAGTTGGCGCTGCTGCAGCAGCTGGAAGACTGCGTTTCTCCTGCAGATTCTCTAGCTGCCTCTCTCAGGGTGCCGATGTCTACTGCACTGCTGGGGCAGCTGAAGGACTGCATAAAAACTGCAATAGAGAATCGGTCGGCTGCAGAGCTCGGGGATTCTGAAGCGGGGGCTGCGCTTGTTGCAGCGAACTACGAAGCAGCAGTGGCGATAGTGGACCTTCAGACGGTGGCAAGGGAGGTTTTAGCCAGAGGTGCACGCACAGTTGTTGCATGCCCCGACGCCATAGATACAGCCAATGTATCAAAGTTCCTCAAATATACTGGCGTATCGCATTCATTGGAGCTAGCCTGGTATCAAGCTGCGCAGGTATGCGAGATGAGCATTCGTTCCATGCGGAAAGATGGACAAAGAACTCTGGAAAAGATGCAGATACTATTTCCGCAGCCAGACGGAATGTTGGTGTTGTCGCCCGAGCGTCTTTCTGCTGCGCGGGCTGCAGTGGAAGCCACCTATTGCTACCTGAAGGGGGAAGAAGCGGCAAGAGAAGCAGAAACACAGCTGCAGCACACTGTTTCACAGCTGTTAAAGAGCAAATATTTGGTGGATCTAGAACCTGTAGCAGCAAAACTAGCATGTCAAGGTCGAACTGCATTCTCACTTCTCCAGGTTGTATCAACGATAAAAGGGGAACGAAAAATGTCACCTGAAGACATACAGCTTCTGGGGAAGTGGGAGCAGTGCTATAACAATGCGCAAGGGGCGATAAGCTCGGTGCAGCAGCACCTGCAGGTGTTGAGGGATGAGACAAGCATGGTAATGATGAAAAAGACAGCGGACGAAGCGAGAACTGCATCTGCGCATGCAGAAACTCTTCTTGCGGAACTTCTCACAGAACTGCCCAGCCACATGCGCCCTAGTATCTTCCAATTGGTGAAGTTATTGCTACGCCCGGATATATTGTCTGCAATATCAAAGAGTACGGACGTCACAACGACGCTCATGCCTATTGTTGACGCAGCAGCAGCAACCGAGCAGCAATTGCTGAAGGTTGGTCGCCAGATAGAGTTGCAGCTTTCCGAGCTGACAAGTCTCCCGTGGGCGCCTAAATTGTTGGTGGAAAACGCTGAAAAGCAGCTCAAGTCTGTTCTAGTGAGTGGGAAGGAGGACAAGCAGACCTTCGATGGGCGTGTAGCCGATATCATCAACAGCGGGCCTAGCCGTGCATTATTTGATGGACTGAATGAGGGCACATCCGCACTTAAGAAACACTGCGAGGCTGTGTGCCAGCTGAATGCGGAAGTGGAAGTGCTACTGGCGCTGAGCCGATTGGTAGAAACTGCTCAAAGCACGGAAGCAAGTGCGTTAGAGATGATGGCAGGTGGGATGATCCTGCAACCTGCGGAGCACCAGCAGGTAAGCGAACTCAGGAAACGGCTGGAGCATGCAGTAGCAACAGCAAGACGAGCAAATAACCTCCCTGCTGTTGTGCAGGCAGTCGGTGAGTATGTTACTGCTAGCCAGAGGCTTCTTCAACTGGTTCGGGTGTCGAAGTTAGAAGGTCTGCTCAAGAACGACACAGCAACCGCAGCAGAGCTCCAAGCAACTAAGGCAGTTCAGGAGGAACTCAAACCCGGCGCCGCTGGAGTGGCTCAAGACGGAGAGGTCGAAGAAGAAAAGGCACCACTTGAAGCAGCATTAACAAAAGCAAGCTACCAAGGAGAAGGCTTTGGAAGACAGACAACAGCAAAACCAGGGGGAGAAGCAACCCAAGGAGAGGAGAATGAGGAAGGTAAGGAGAACGATGATCAAGACAGCTACGAAACAGCGTCGGAGAGTGAAGGGCACGAAGAAAGCGAAGATGGAGACGAATACCAGGATGCTCTAGAGTGGTCAGAAAGTTCATACAAACCACAGATATAATAACAGTGCGAATGTGGGAAGGGCAAGCACATGAGGGGGATGCAGCCTGTAAAGACTGACACAAGAGAAATGGATTTGAGGGCGGCAGCAAAGTATTTCGGAAGAATGACAAAACCATCGGGGTTGTGGCCACTTTTCAGCAGAGGACAAAGCGGCAAGAGCACATGACGAAAAGGCAGGCGGCGTTGAAGAAAAAGAGCAGCACAGCGTGGGGAAATTTTGGTGCGTACATAGGCAGAAAGGAGGCAAGAGAGGGAGAAAGACAAGAAGGAGACGAAGGAAGGGAAGCAATGAGCCGACAGGCGAGGCGCATCCTCTCTAGCGTAACTGCGAAGTAGAGGAGTTGTGGCAAGTGGGAGGTGAAGGCAAGCTGCCCCCCGCTATATTGGGACATACACAGGGGAAAGGAGGACAAATATGTTTCTCCCCTTAGAAGTGAAAGAAGAGAACGGAAAATAGTGGACGGGGAGTGGGAAATAATTGCCGTTACACTCCAGGGTGGCGCAAACCAACGACATGTTTTGTGTAGCGTTAGTGAAATACACCCAGCATGTTGAGTGCAGGCACTAAGATGTCGGCATAGAAAGATATTTATGCATTTTTAGATATATGACGTATCCTTGCCTCCAAAGGTTGACAGACAGCAGAGGGACACATATTGTAGCGGACAATAGCAGGAGAGGGATAGAGTTGTCGATTAGCAATGCCCTCCCAATCGAACTGCAGATATTTGGCCGATTTTTACCGACAGGAAGAACGTAAATCACGCGATTAAAATAGAATAATAATAAAGAGTAAATGCTCTGAATATGTTATTTTATTTTTGGACGAACTCGCAACACCAGTGAGCGAGGTGGAAGTGCAGGCTCATTGGCGGTAGCTGTGTTGGGGCCGTGTGCTTGTTCGCGTGGTTTATGGGAGGCTTGGTTCATCTGCTGCTGTTTATACTTGTCGGTTCACGCTAGCTTTGACAAACCCGAACATGGTTCTTTTTATCAATATCCACAAAATGGATTCAGCTTTTTTGGCGTTTTAAACCGAACTGCAATTCTGGACATTCCCCTTGGCAGTGCCTTACCGCTCCTACCGCTCCATGGTCTCCTGTTTTTGTCGTCCTTTGTCGATTTTGCGGCCTAATTAACTTTGTTCCTGAAATGTGCAAACGAAAGCTCATTAAGCGACTGGCTGCTCCCGCTGTGCAGCGATTGCGGGGAAGAACAAAAGCTCCGCTCTTCCTGTCCCTGCTACTGCTCCTCGTCCTCGTTTGCCACTGCAGTAGTTCAGCAGCTTCTCAAAATCTTGACTTCTTCGACGAAGGTTTACAAGTAGACGAGGGACAAGATATTTCAATCGCGGAAGCAGCAGCAGCTACTCCGCCCGTAGGAGATGCGGGCGATGGTGAAGGCCCGGTGTGGCAAATGTTGAATAAGGGCCTGGGGCCTGTGAATATGGAATGGATTCGTGCTGCGGGGAAGAAGGTTGGATGGCACGCTCTCGGATCTGCTGCGGCGGTGGTGTTGCTGGCAGTTTTTGTTACCGCAAGGATGTTTGGTGCTGCTGGTCGAAGGGAACAGGTGGGAGGAAAGCAGAACCCGCAAGATGAAGAGGAATATGAAGACGAAGGAGAAGAAGAAGAAGTTGATGGGGAGGGTGGTGCTGCTCAGTTGGCGCTGTTGCGGCGACTGCAACGCTGCGTTACCCCTGCAGCTTCTCTAGTTGCCACTCTGAAGGCACCGATATATGATGTTCATCTGAATGATATGAAGAGGAATATAGAGAATGCGGTGGAGTACCAGTCTGCTGCAGAGGTCGGGGAACCTGGAGCGGTCGCTGCGCTTGCGGCTGCAAACCAACAAGCAGCACATCTGGCTCGGCTACTTCAGGATGCGGCAATGTCTTCTGTATCCACTAATGCATGGAGCGTGACTTCATGCAACGATGCAGAAGTTTCAGCTGGAGCAGCTGTTGCCCGAAGTATGTTTAAAAGATCAGGGGTCTCATCATCATACAAGGAAGCATGGGACCTAGCTGTGGGCGTCTGCGACACTATAATTCGCACCCTGCGGGAGGAGGCAAGGACATTAAAAGAGCGACTGCCCAGCTTGCCTTCGCTGGAGCAGAAGCAGCAGCTGCTGCAGCCCAGGCGAATTTATGCTGAGCGGGTTGCAGTGGAAGCCGCTCGTTCTCTCCAGGAACGGCAAACAGCTGCCACACAAGCAGCGAAACAGCTGAGGAAAATTTATCTGAAACTGGTGAAGAGCACATTAGTGGTGGAGACAGAGCTTCAAGCAGCCAAGCTAGCACTTCAAGGACGAATTGCTTCCTCGATGCTTGAGGCTGCACTCTCCAAGGTGGCAGGAAGGAGACAACCAGGATCAGATGAGCAAGACCTCATGGACGAGTGCGGATCGCAGTATAGGGATGCGGAAAAGCACCTTAGGTCGATGCAGGAACAACTTGAGGTGTTGAAGGACAAGACAGACTTGCTGGATATAACGAGGGCAGCGAGCGTTGCAGCGAGGGCATCAAACAATGCAGCAACCCTTCTTCAGGGCGTTCTCAGGAAGCAGTCAAAGTTCTTGTCCAGCCGAACGTCCCTTGGTGCCGAAGAACTTCCGAATGGAGAGCCAGGCGTGGATGACCTGGTGTCTGGCGTGAAGCAGATTATGGACTTGCAAACTGCGATGAAACCCATTGTTGAAGCAGTAACAGCAACCGAAAAGCAAGTGTTGGAAGTGGGTCAACAGGTAGAGATGCAGCTATCCGGGCTAAAGGACCTCCCGTGGGTGCCTCAATTGTTGCTAGAAAATTCTAAAAAGCTACTAAAGTCTGCTCTCGTGAGTGCGAAGGTGACAAGGGAGGCTGTTCAGCGGCGTGTGGTCGACATGAGCGAGTCCGCGCCTAGAGGCATAGTGGAATTGTTAGATGCAATAGCAGCGGACACATCAGCACTCAAGGATCAGTGCAAGGCTCTATGGCAGCTGAATGCGGAAGTGGAAATGCTGGTGTTGCTGAAGGGAATGGTAGCAAATGCTGAAAAGCACAAAGAAGCTGCATTAGGAATGATAGCAGGTTCCAAGTTCCTGCAACCTGCCCACAAGCAACGGGCAGGCGAACTCAAGAAACAGCTGGAGCATGCAGTAACAACAGCAAGACGAGCAGATAGGCTTTCTGCTTTTGTGGAAGCAGTAGGCCAGTGTGCTTCTGCTAGCGAGGGGCTGCTGCAACTGGCTCTGAAGTCGAAATTAGATGTTCTGCTCAAAAACGACACAGCAGCAGCAGCGGAGGTGTAGGCAACTAAAGCAGTAGAGGGGACACTCCAATCCGCTGCAGCTGAAGTGTGCAAGGCGCAGAATTAGAAGAAGAAAAGGCACCACTTGAAGCAGCAGCAACAAAGGCAAGCGACCAAGGAGAAAATTTTGGAAGACAGACAACAGCAAAACCAGGGGGAGAAGCAACCCAAGAAGGAGAGGAGCATGAGGAAGGTGCGGAGGAAGATGATCACCTCATCCACCAAACAGCCTCGGAGAGTGAACGAGACGAAGGAAGCGAAGATGGAGACGAATACGACAATGCTCTAGAGTGGTCAGAAAGTTCATACAAACCACAGATATAACAGTGTGAATGTGGGGAAGAGCAAGAGCACGAGATGGATGCAGTCGATAAAGACGGAGACAAGGGAAGTGGACTTGAGGGCGGCAGCAAAGTATTTCGGAAGAATGGCAAAACCATCGGGGTTGTGGCCACTTTTCAGCAGAGGACAAAGCGGCAAGAAAAGGCAAGAAAAGGCAGGCGGCGTTGAAGAAAAAGAGCAGGACAGCGTGGGGCAATTTCGGTGCGTACATAGGCAGAAAGGAGGCAAGAGAGGGAGAAAGACAAGAAGGAGACGAAGGAAGGGAAGCAATGAGCCGACAGGCGAGGCGCATCCTCTCTAGCGTAACTGCGAAGTAGAGGAGTTGTGGCAAGTGGGAGGTGAAGGCAAGCTGCCCCCCGCTATATTGGGACATACACAGAGGAAAGGAGAGCAAATATGCTTCCCCTCTTAGAAGGTTCAAGATAACACTCTAGAGTGCCGCGTACCAACCACACGTAGGGTGTAGCGTTCGTGAAATACAGCAGGCATGTTCAGCGCAGGTTATGAGATGTCAGCACAGAAAGATATTGATGCATTTTGAGATATAAGGGGTATCCGTGCCTCGAAAGGTAGACAGACAGCAGAGGGACACATTCTCTAGCAGACAACAGCAGGAGATGGAGGGAGTTGTAGATTGGTGATGCACTCACAAACGAAGTGCCGAGAATTCGCCGACTTTTACCTACAGAAAGAACGTAAATCACGCTATTGAAATAGAATAATAATAAATAGTAGATGCTCTGAATATGTTATTTTAGTTTTGGACGGACTGTCAACACCACTGAGCGGGATTGAGGTCCAGGCTCATTGGCGGCTCATTGGCGGCAGCTGCGTTGTGGCCGAGTGCTTGTTCTCGTGAGTTGTGAGAGGCTTTGTTTGTTCATTGTAGTTTTCTTTCTCCATTGAATCTAGCTTCACAACGAAGCGCAACCCGAACATAGGTAGTTTTTATTAATGTCCATAGGATGAATTCAACTTTTCCCACTTTTTCTCCGGGCCTTCTGCTCACGATAAACTGACTGCGACGACGGGAACGCTCCCTGAAGGTCTATTCTTCCCGTCGTCCATTTTCCATCTTCCCGCCTAATTAACTTTGTGCCTGAAATGTGCAAACAAAAACACATCAAACGACCGCCCGCTCCAGCTGTGGAGCAATTGCTGGGAAGAATAGCAAAACCTCCGCTTGTCCTGTCCTTGTTGCTGTTCCTCGTCCTCGTTTGCCCTTGCAGCAGTTCAGCAAGTTCTCAGCGTCTCAATTATAAGAGTTTGGATGTAGAGGATGCACATGATGTTTCAAGCCCGGTCGCAGCAGCAGCTCTTACTGCTGTAGGAGATGCTCTAGATGGGAAAGGTGCATTCCAGCAGGTACTGAAAAAGGGCTTGCGGCCTGTGAGTAAGGAATGGATTAGTGGTGCATTGAATAGGTTTGGGTGGCACGCACCGGGGTCTGCTGCGGCGGTAGTGCTGGTGGTAGTTTTAGTTATAGCAAGCATATTTGCTGCTGCCAGTCGAAGGCCCAAAGCTGGCGAGGCGTCATGGGCGGGAGGAGAGGAGCCAACGCCGGAACCTTCTGGAGGAGAACAAAAACATGAAGAGGAAGATCAGGACAAAGGAGAAGGACAAATTGATGAGCAGATTGCTTCCGGTGAGTTGGAGATATTGCCTACACTGCAACACAGCGTTCACCTTGTAGCTTTACTAGCTGCCACTGTGAATAAAAAGGGATATAGTGCACTGCTTGATGCTATGAAGAAGCATACAGACACTGCGGCGAAGTACCAGTCTGCTGCAGAGATCGGGGAACCAGGAGCGCTGGCTGCGCTTGCTGCTCATAACCAAAAAGCAACACAATTGATTATGGAATTGCTAGAAGATGCAATGTATGTTGTAACCGAAAGTGCAAGGAGACTGAATTCATGCAAGGATGCAGCAGTTATAGCTGATGCTTCTCTTGCCAGAAGGGTGTTTAACAAATCAGGAATCGCATCATCATACCAGGAGGCCTGGGACCAAGCTGTGGCCGTCTGCGACAGTAGTATACGTTTCCTGCGGACATTTGCACAACGGGTGCACCAGAGGCTGCCGAACCTGCCCTCACTGCAACAGAAGCAGCTGGTGCTGCTGCCCAACCGAATTTCCGCTGCAGGGGTTGCAGTCTTAGCTACCGATTGCTGCGTGTGGGGACAAGACGCAGCAACAAAGGCAGCCAAGCAGCTAAAGCTAATTTGTCTGAATCTGGCTAAGAGCAATCGAAGGGTGGAGGTGGAATTGGAAGCGGCCAACCTAGAAGTTCAACGGAGAATTGCTGCAGCGATGTTGGAGGCTGCACACTCAAGCGTGGAGGACAAGACAAAACGACTGCCACCTGAAGAAGCAAATCTCTTGGCGAAGTGGGACGAGCGGCATAAGGTTGCGCAAGATGCGCTTAGCTCGATGCAGGAGCAACTGCAACTGTTGAAGGATATGGTAGACCCACTAGACTTCATGTATAGTGCGACCGGGGCAACGAGTGCATCAAAGGGTGCAGCACACCTTCGAGACCTTCTCAATGGACTGTCAGAACTCTTGTCCCGCCCAACGTTCCTTGGCGCCAAACAACATGGGAAGAAAGCGGCACGCATGGAGGACGTCGTGTCCGTTGTGGAGCATGTTATGGACCTGCGGACTGCGATGAAACCCATTGTTGAAGCAGCAGCAGCAACCGAGCAGGAAGTGTTGGATGTGGGGAGCCAGGTAGAGATGCAGCTTTCCGGTCTAAAGGACCTCCCATGGGTGCCTCAGTTGTTGTTGGAAAAAGTTGAAAAGCAACTAGGGAATGCGATAGTGAATGCGAAGGTGAAGAGAGAGGCTGTCCAGCAGCGTGTGATCGAGATGAGCCGCAGCGCGCTAAGTGGCATAGTTACATCGTTAGATGAACTAGCGGCGGACACATCAGCACTGAAGGAGAATTGCAAGACTCTGTGGCAGCTGCGTGCGGAAGTGGAAATGCTGGTGTTGCTGAAGGGAATGGTAGAATTTTCTGAAAAGGCCAAGGAGGCTTCATTAGGGATGATAGCAGATTCGGAGATCCTGCACGCTTCCCACCACCGACGGGCAGGCGAACTCAAGATGCAGGTGGAGCTTTCAGTAAAAGCAGCAAGGCGAGCAGATAGCCTTTCTGGTGTTGTGGAAGCAGTCAGCGAGTATGTTTCTGCTAGCGAGAAGCTGTTGCACCTGTCGCTGATGCCACTGTTGGAACTTAAGCTTGAAAACGACCTTCCAGCAGCAGCAGAAGTGTAGGCAACTGGAGGAACTCAGGGGTCACTCCAATCCACTGCAGCTGAAGTGGCTTAAAACGGGGAGGTAGAACCGGACAGGCACGAGTTCATGCAGCAGCAGCAGCAACAGCAACAGTAGGGAGCAAAGAAGAGTTTGGTGCACAAATAACACCAAAAACACAGGGCCAAGCAGCCCAAAAGAAACAGAGGAGCATGTGAAAGGTGACGAGTAAGATGATCACGCAAGCTATGAAGCAGCCCCAAACAGTGAAGGAGAAGCAGGACGCGTGAGTGGAGATGCATACGATGATGGAGTAGCGTGGTCAGGAAGTTCATACAGACCCCAAGTACGACTGTGTGAAGGAGAAGAAGAGCATGTGCATGAGAGGGATGCAACGGCTAAAGAAGGAGAAATGCATTTGAGGGGATTTGCGAGAGAATTCGGACGTACGGCGCAGCCATCAGAGTTGAGGCGTTTGTTCAGCAGAGGACATGCCAGCAAGAGCACATGACGAAGAAGAAGGCATCGATGAAGCGAAAGATGACGGAGTGCCAATTGCGGCAGGAGACTGAGTGGCAATTTGGCGGGACATAAGCAGAAAAGATTCAAGATAGGAAGGGAAACAAACAGAAAGGAAAAGAAGAAAGGTAAATTTAGAGCCGACAGTGCGAGGCGCAATCTATCTAACATAATAGTGAAGGAGGGAGTAGTTGTGGCTAGGAGGATATGAAGGTAAGTAGGGATTTCCCCTGATAGTTGCGAGCATGTACACAGGGAACTAGGGCAGATGGATTTCTCCTGTTAGAAGCTGAAGACAGAGAATACCAGACAAGAAACAGGGGATGGGAAACAGGTTCCAAGAAACTGCCCGGTTGCGGGTGGCAACGGCACGTTGAGTGCAGCATTCGTGAAATACAACCAGCATCTTGAGTGAGGGATATGAGATTACAGGACAGAGACAGAAAGATGTAGTGCAATATAAGAGGTGTTCGTGCCTACTAAGGTAGACAGACAGCAGGAGGACACAGGATCTAGCCGACGACAGCAGAAGAACGGGAGCGTCGCAGTTTTGCTATGGCTTCCGAACTAGCCTGCAAAGCCTTCGGCTATTTTCACTGACAGCGGGAACGTAGACACGCGATTAAAGTTTAATAATAGCACATAGTAAATGCTCTTAATGTATTGTTGGTGTCCTGTGAGGAACTGTCGAGTCCACTGTGCTACATGGAAGGCCGTCGGCATTAGCAGCAGCAATGCTCTGCTGAGTGGCTGTGTGAGTCGTCTGTGGGTGGATCGGTTCTTTCATGTTTTTTCGTTGTAGTTTCTGGAAAAATAATTCCTCAGTTGGCGATAACTTTGAATAAGTGAAACATAGCTATATTTGATCAATATTCATTGGGTGGATTCAACTTTCGTTTCATTTTGGCCCGGCTTAGAACACAACCAGTGGTGCCGGGCAGCTCTGGGAGGCTCTATACAAGTGTGCTGTTTTCGTCATCCCTTCTCATTTTTATTGCTTAATTAACTCCATGGATGAGATGCGCAAGCGAAAACTCATTAAGCAACAGCCCGTTCGTGTTGGGGGGGCACACTTTCTGGAATGGACCACAGAAGGTCCGCTCTTCCCGCCCCTGTTGCTCCTTCTCGTCCTCGTTTGCCCTTGCAGTAGTTCAGCAAGTTCTCAACATCTTAATTTGCTTGAAAAGAGCTTGGAGGTAGAGCAAGATCATAATGTTTAAATCCCGGAAGCAGGAGCACCTACTACAGCTGGAGGTGTTGAATAAGGGTTTGCGGCCTGTGAGTATGGAATGGATTAGTGGTGCATGGGAGAGGTTTGGGTGGCATGCACTGGGGTCTGCCGCGGCGGTAGTGCTGGTGGCAGTTTTAGTTATAGCAAGCATATTTGCTGCTGGTGGTCGAAGGTTCAAAGCTGGCGACGTGTCACGGGCAGGGGGAAAGGGGAAAACTGCATCAGAACATCCACGAGAAGAACAACAGTTACAGAAAAATGAAGAAGAAGATAAAGAGGAAGGAACGGGGGAAATATGTAAGGTGAGTGTTACTGCACAGTTGGCGGCGTTGCGGCGGCGGCAACGCTGCATTGACCTTGCGGCCGTATTGGCTACCTCTATGAATAGTAAAGGAGATAGCCCATTTGCTGATGCTATGAAGCAGGATATAGAAACTGCGGCGAAGTATCACTTTGGTGCAGAGGTCCGGAGTTCTGAAGCGTTGGGCTGCGCTTCCTGCTCACAACCAAAAAGCAACACAACCGATTATGGAATTGCTAGAAGATGCAATGGATGTCGCAACTGTAAGTGTAAAGAGACTGAATTCATGCAAGGATGCAGCAGTTATAGCTGATGCTTCTCTTGCCAGAAGGGTGTTCAACAAATCAGGAATCGCATCATCATACCAGGAGGCCTGGGACCAAGCTGTGGCCGTCTGCGACAGTAGTATACGTTTCCTGCGGACGTTTGCACAAAATATGCAGCAGCGACTGCCGAACCTGCCCTCGCTGAAGCTGGAACAGATGGTGCTGCTGCCCAACCGAATTTCCGCTGCAGGGGTTGCAGTCTTAGCTACCGATTGCTGCGTGTGGGGACAAGACGCAGCAACAAAAGCAGCAACGCAGCTAAAGCTAATTTGTCTGAATTTGGACAAGACAGGACGACTGTCCCCTGAAGAAGAAAATATCTTGGCGATGTGGGACGAGCGGCATAAGGTTGCTCAAGAGGCGCTCATATCGATGCAGGAGCAACTGCAAGTGTTGAAAGATACAACAGACCCGCTGGACTTCACGTATAGGGCGACCGGGGCAGCAAGTGCATTAAAGGGTGCAGCACCCCTTCTGCGGGACCTACTCAATGGACTGTCAGAATTCTTGTCCAGCCCAGCGTTCCTTGGTGCCAAACAACATCGGAAGAAAGAGGCACGTATGGAGGATGTGGTTTCCGGTGTGGAGCAGACTATAGACTTGCCAACTGCGATGAAACCCATTGTTGAGGCAGCAGTAGCAACCGAGCAGGAAGTGTTGGATGTGGGAGGCCAGGTAGAGATGCAGCTTTCCGGTCTAAAGGACCTCCCATGGGTGCCTCAGTTGTTGTTGG